GAAATGGGTAAAAGGGTTTTCTCTTTCTAATCTTTTACTTACTGTACACCAGCTGTAACATCCACTGATACTAACCCACCCATATATATATCACCCCCAGCTCCTTCTACAGCAGCAAAGAGCCAAAGCGGCTCTTGGGGACTCCTCAATTTGTGATACAGGAAAAGGTGAGGAGAAAAACAAGGAGTCAAGAATAGGATCAAGTCTGTTCCTTGTAGGAAAAATGAGCAGGTACGAAAGCAAAATAAATTCCATATTCTCTCCAGCCCCGGGAATCTGGAATCTGATCAGAAATGGGGAAGTGGGGTACCTCGTCAGAATGCACAGACCTAAATAGTCTTATCTTTGCATTTCTATCAAGATCTTTGGATGGACGGTGTCTGCAAAACTTTTTCCAGGCCAAGTCAATGATTTCTTAGTGGGACAAGGCCTCTTCAATAATTTTCCACATAAAAATTTCTTGCAGGTTTTAAGGAAGAATCACACAAGTAGAGTATTAAAAAGTTTAACTACAAGATGTTCTTCCATGGTGTCATTCTCTTAAAATAGAACCCTCCTAAAACCTCCTAAAAATAAGTCTGCATAGTTTCATTTCATTTTCGAAGAAGGAGATAAACATATCAAAACAAACACTTAGCTTCTTTTTTAAAGAGTCTCTTTGCTCCATGGGGCTCAGAGATCAAAGTCTAAAAGGGCCAATTTCTTCACTTCATAGGTCGATGACACAGCTTTGAAAAAGAGGAAAAACAGTCCCCCTAGCGTACCGCTGCTGTAGGAAGAGGAAGTTCCTTAGCTGAGAATCACTGACGAAGACAGTACTGCCAAAGGAAATTACAAAACAGCATTTCGGCAACACGGGCCAGGCAGAAGACAGATTCCTCCTCACCCAGCACCAAAAGCAGCCCCTTCGCTGAGTTACTCCAAAAGGTGACTGAGGTCAAAATTACAAGCCAACGTGGAATTATTATGACTTGGCCATTTTGAAATTTTAAAAAATATTTTTAAACATCAAAGTGGCAGTTAAAATAACATTTCCTAATACAGCCTGTTGAAAAGGCACTGGATACATTCATCTAAAGAGGCAGAACAGTGAGGACACAAACAAGCGTTATGCGGCAGGTCAGCCCTCAGCTTTTTACCTCAGGAAGAAGCCATAAGAGGACACCTTCTCACATGAAGGAAGACTCAGGCTCTTGAAGAACTCTCCTCTGCAGCAGCAGCAGCAGAAGCTGTCACACGGCATCTACATCTGCAAAATTGTGGGAACCACCACAGAAACTAATGGCTGCCTAACATGATCGGGCCCCGACCCCGGGAAAGGCAGCTGTGTGTAGGAGAGTCAGAGATAAACAGGGCTGACCAGGTAAGCCCTGTTGTCCTAAAGGTCCTCCCAGAGAACCCACCAGTTCAGTTATGGGTGCAGTGCAAGTAAGCTTAACGTGAACTAAAGGAAATGTAACCTTTTCCCCTCTTAACCACATCTGATTATTCCTTTCTACTTGAATGCCTGAGGTAAAGGAACCTGTAAGATGGCCATCACCTTTCTCCTGGCACAGGCTGCCGCTGACAAACGTTACGTTAACCGAGAGCTTCCCTCTCCTGTTAAAATGCTATCTTTTTTGCCACCTTGATCACTTCATGGTTCCTAAGGACCAACACTGAAAGGCACCGGACAGCGACGCAAACATACACTCAGTGGGTCCGCATCAATATTCCTCTCTCTTTCCGATGCTAAAATAATAACCAAGATGTTTTTAGATTGAGAGGGAAATCTGCTTTTCAGGAAAGCAACTTCTACTTATGTAAGATTGCTTGTTACTTACCAAATGACCTTTTTAAAAAGATCAATTTCAAGAGGAAAACAGTGTGATGAAGACCAAAGATTTCTAGAACCGTGGCTACTAATTCTCTCTCTGCTAACTAGCTGTGTGATCTTAGAAGTCATTAACTTGAAGAATCAGGTCCTTACCTATAAAATAACGAGCATGACTGAGATCAGCAAACCTCACCCCAGCTGTACATTAGAATCACCTGAGAAACTTAAAAAAAAAAAACAAGTAATGCTAAGCCACACACCAGCCCAATTAAATCAGACTTTCCGGATATTGGTATTTTTTAAGAACTCCCAGATGATTCCAATATGCAACCAGGGCTTTGAACCACTGGTCTCAATTCTGACCTCAAGGGTTTCTTTTCTAATTCTTTCATTCTATGATCTGAACATGATAATTCTGGTTACAGGATCTCGTAATGCAATGGCCCAAAAAGCTAAAAAGGAAAGGAAGGCCTAGAGCTTGCATACTATGTCTATGTGCATACATGACTACGAGACGTTAACCTGAATTCTAGACATTTTTAGAAATTAACAACCCTAATGCATAACTCAGAATGAAAGTAGTGTGGTTTAAATGCACATGCAGGCTTCCAGAATGACTAATCATGATAGGAATCAACTCCTGAAACTCGGACGCGTGGAAATGGGTCACAATTAGCTCCTGACCTCTCCCGTTTTCCTCTTCTTCCACCCCCACTGAACCACAAGCACAAAAAAGGTTGGCTATAAGTCATAATCGAAATATGAAACCAGCCTCAGTTTCAAAGGGCCTTCTCCATCATCAAAGATTTGGAAGTTCCTGCATGGCTGCATCTTTTGATGAAGGTCATCTTACAAAAACTTTATAACTAAATTACATCCTTATAGCCTTTAAGGATTAGTTGCCATGTGATACTCAGCAATAGAACTGGTGTAAAATTTTAAAGTAAAAGTAATCATAAAAGTGTGCCCTGTACTGAACATACTAAGATTGGAGAGTTTCAATTTATAATATTTCATAGGATTTTAGTTAGAGAGAGATGAGATAGCAGAGAAGGAAAAAAGAAACCATGAGACAAAAATTGGTTAGGACATAAAACCACAAAGTCTATGCCTAGGCCCAAAATCTCTATTGCAAGTTCTGCAAGCTATATGAAAACATAACGACCCCAGTCTCAGTTCATGGCTACTTTTGGTAATACCTCTTTCTCACATAAATCTTCAAAAAAATCAAGTGCTGTTAAACTGTTACTATCTTTAACTATAAACGCAATAGCGAGAAATAATATTTCTAGAATTAAGTTACTTTTGCTATCTCAAAAATCACAGGAAAGGTGACTCCTCTTCCCATGTTAACTTTTTAACTAAGTTAAAAGTTAGCTAACTTTTAACAGTTTCTCTGCACCAAATTCAAAACGTACAAAAATTTCAAGTGTGAGAAATTTGAAAAATATTCCAAATCCCCAAGTCCATCTTCTTAGATCCTGTAAACTCACCCTTTCCTGACACAGCACACTGCAATTAACCCTTGCTATCCATTTGCAAACTCGGTTTTAAAAGGCATCACAGTATCACGGCTTTGAAACGAAACCAATTGTCACCCGTTTCTGGAAACAGCCCTCAGATCACACAACTGGCATTCCTTTGCAGAGCAATAAAGTTAAATCAAATATAAGATTTATCATGTCAGCATTTGTTAAAGGAAATAAGACAGATTTGTGGAATAGTATCAAACTACATCTTGCTTTTAAAATACCTAAACAAGGCCTCTCCAATGCTAGCCATAAAAAATAAAAATAAAAAACAGGCACTGTGTTTGCAAGGTTTTTAAAAAGTAGTCAATACACTACATTCTTTAGCCTTTTTATATACAGGCTCCTTTCCAGTGCTTCAATTCTCCACTAAGATTAAATGGTTCTTATTTTATACACATACTGGAACCCAGGAAGATACAGGGCTCTCCAAAGACAAGGGACAGAAGTAAGAAGCAACCACCTCTTTAATTAAAAAAAAAAAAAAAAACCCTAACTTGCAAATAGAAGCAACTGACAAGCGATATGCATCTCCACCCGCGCAACACGCAGGACGCTTGGTACTGCCACATCCCTATCTTGGGGGAAGGGGCCAGGAGGATGAGGTGCCAGGAAGAGCGAAACAACCGGGTATCAGCAGCCCAGCAGGGGCACAGGAGTTAATCTCTTTGGCTGTCCAACTGCAGAAAGTCATTACATCATAGCCTTTCCACACCTCTCTCCCTACCACGTGTCTAGGACCCCAAGAGGCTGAAAAGGAGCAGGAGAGCGCCTCTCTTCAGGTTCACTAATAGGCAGAAGCCATTACGGCCCAGCCCTGCCACCAAACCTCCCTCCCACGAGCCAAGGTGAAGCTCCAGGCCCAACCTCCACACCTGGACCTCCCCCCGCCCCCCCCAACAACTCCGGAGTCCAGGCCTCAGCGGGAGCAGCAGGTGCGGCCAGTCCGCGTTGAGGTGACAGGGCTGGCCCGTTCCAGGCCCCAGGACAGCAGAGAAGCTACTGGGGGCAGATTTACTGGAGAGACATCTCTGAGGAACAGAGGTGTAGACACAAGCAAGGAAAGATAGCCGGCCAGGGAAAGGTTTGCAACCACTGCTTTCTCTAATGGGATCGATGTGCCTGTGGGAGTTAACACCCACAAGCCCGAAACTTGGACCCAAGGGTTCTCACCCAGCTACTGACAACGCACCAAGCTCCTGCGACCGACTGGAAACCACAAACCCAACCCCTCCCCCGGGCACCGAGTCCCAAACACTCCCCCACGTCCCCTCGCTCCACCCGCAGCGCCCCCACTACGGTGAATTCTACTCCAAAGTTGGCCGCGGACCTACCTTCTCCGCGCTGTCCCGGGAATCCAGCAAATGCACTCCTGACCGTCTGTCCTTCCCTCGCCGGCGTCCCATGCCCCCTCTCCTCACCTGGCCATGCCCGAGGCTTCCCCGGGAGCTTCCTATCCGCCCCACCCCTCCGCGGCCGTCCCCAGGGTGCCCTCCTCCGAGGGTCACACAGAACCCCCAAAGCCTCCCCGCCGTAGCTCTCCGCGCCAACCCCTCTCCCGGCGCCCGCAGGCGCGCTCCGAGGACTCAAAGGCGCGTCTCGCACTGCGCAGGAGGCCCGGCGGGTCCGGCCGCCCGCCCGAGGAGGGTACGCACCTTCCAGCCGGCAGAGCTGTTGCTGTCGCCCTTATCCTTGAAGTAGGGCACGCAACGCACCATCCACTCGTAGATCTGGGACAGAGTGAGCCGTTTGTCCGGGGAGCTCTCGATGGCGCGAGTGATCAGGTCGGCGTAGGACAGGTTCCCCCAGGCGTTCCGCCGCGACGAGCATTTCCTCGGCTGCCCGGAACCCCCCGCCGTCCCCGGCTGCGGCGGTGGCAGTGACTGCTGAGGCTGCAACGGCGTCTGCGTCCCCCCGCTCAGCGCGCCCGCCGCGGGGGCTGGCCCGGACCCGAGGTCCTGCCCTCCGGGAGCCAGCAGCCGAGCCGACTCCTCAAGGAGCAGCCCGGAGCCCAGCGTGCCGCTCCCGCCGCCGCTGATCGCCATGGCCGAGCCGGCCCTACCACCACCGTCCTCGTCGTCTTCATCGTCCTCCTCCTCGGGGATCATGGAGTCGGCGGCCGCCTCCCCCGAGGGCTTGGCCGGGCTCCCCTGGAGCTCTGGCCTCTGCAGGGGCCACGTACAGGAGCGCGGCCGGCTCTGGGGCTCGAACTCCGGGTCCAGCTCCACTTCGAGCGGAGAGAGCGGGGCCGGGGAGGCCGGCGCCTCTGCCATCTTCGCCGCCCGCCCGCCCGCGGCTCGGGCTCTCGCGCTCTCCTCTCGCGCCGGGGCGGGGTGCGGCGGGGGAGGGACGGGGGCGCCGCGAAGGCTCGGGCTCCTGGGCGCCGCCGCCGCCGCCTGGGGAAGCACAAGAGAAGAGAGAAGGAGAGTTGGTTATCCCGGGCCGGAGCCCAGTCCTCGGCGAGTCCTCGCCCGCCGCCGCCGCTGCCGCCTGCACCGCGCCCGCCTCCCAGGAGCAGGCGGACCTGGAGACGTGCGTCCCGCGAACCTGGCGCCGCAGACACCGCCCCCTGGCCAGGCCGCGGGGGAGACGCGAGCGAATCGACGGGCTCGCACGGGGCAGCCCCCTCCCCCGCCGCCGCCCGAGCTGCAGGTCTCCCCAGGGCTAGGTGGCTGGGCGGGGAGGCAGGGGGAGGGGCGGGGAGGGGGAGGGGCACGGGCCGCGCCTTTAAATCGGGCAGCGGCCGGAGCTGGCGCAGCCGAGCTGCGGTCGGAGCCCGAGCCCGGGCGGGCGTGCGTTTGTTTATGTTTCGCTCGGGCCCGCTCAAGTGCTTCCCGCGGCGCCACCGCCAAAGTCTGTGGCGTCTTCGGCTCTTCTCCCCATCCCCAGCCCTGCCACCTCCCCTCCCGGCGGAGGGCCCCCAGCCCGGGGACGACGCGGGCAGCTGCCTTCTCCCCTCTTGGCCCGCGGGCCGGGAGGGCGAACGTGGATCCGCGCGCAGATGGGCCCTTGTCACTTGCAGAAAAAAGAAAGACGGGAAGAAGGCGGGCGGGCAGCTCGGCGGGTGTTTGCAAAGGGTCGAGCCGAGCAGTAACGGCCACTTTGGGGTTCCGTGTGGTTTATTTTCTCGCGGACGTTGTGCCCTCCACCCGCTTCCCTGTAAAGAACGGGGGGAGGGGGGCAAGTCGAAACATAAATCTTCCAACAGGTCGGGGAGCGCCAAGTCTCCCGCGCCGCCAGAAAACCCGGACCAGCACGTTCATCACCTCCTTGCTCCCGCTGCTGCCATCTTGACAGTTTTTCCCCCTTCACTCAAGTCCTTTAAAAACACTAGCGGGAGAGAAAGGGGGGCGCGCACACCGAGTCACGGGGAGGGAAAAGGGAAGCGCCTGGCCCAGCTCGAAAGCAGATCCGGAGTCACCGGGAAGGCGGCCGCCCCGCTGCACAGCTCCGGCGCCTACCTCGGTTCCTTCCCTTCAGGGACGAGGGGGGAGGACGCACAATCCCGCGCGGGCCCGGGGCACGGCGAGGAGGGGGCGCGCAACCTCGGCGAAGGAGAGGTGCTCCGGCCGCCGCCGCAGCCCGCCGGAGGAACCGCCTGCCAGCCTGCGCGCCGCCGCTTTCCACATTCCTCCTCCTCCCTTCCACGAGCAGGGCGGCCGCGGCAGCAGCACAAAGTTATAGACACACGCAGGGTGCCTCAACCTAGGCTGACGGCGGGCGGGCGGGTCCCCGCCCAGGGGGAGGGCTGGGCGGCGAGCCCGGGTGTGCTCTGCGTGTGTGTGTGAGTGCATGTGTGTGTGCGATCGCGCGCGCGCCTGCGCGACCCGGCTCCGCGGGGCTGCGGGCGTGGGTGTCAGGGCGCGCGCCGCGGGCCGGGACTCGGCGGGCTCCCGCGGCCGTCCCCGCCGGGCTCCTCCTCCCTCCCGCGAGCCTCAACGACAACAAAGCGCGGCGCTGGCCCAGCAGAAGAGGGAGGGGGAGCGCAGAGCCCCAAACACTCCACGAGCGCAGTCGCGTGGCTTCGCTGACTCCGGGCAGGGCGCCTGGCACAGGGGGTCCCCGGCACGCGCGTCCGCTCGCCAGGCTCTGGGCCTGCCCTGGTGTCCGGTTCCCCATTAGAACCCGATACCAGGTAACACCCGAGATAAGATGCTGACCGCAGATGGTGTCACCTCAGCGTGGAAATACCGACAAGCGAAGATGTTGGTGCCTACAGGACTTGCATAAACTGATGCCCTCAGATTTGATCAGGCACCAGAAGGTCTGCACTGAGTCTCTTACCCAGGACGCTCGACCGCAAGCGTGTTCAATTTTCATGAAATTCATGCAAACGAAGGGAGAAGTGTAACCAACTTAGGAGAGAAAAGCAAATTATTCCCCATTCCTAAACGCCTGAACAGATTTTGAACAATTGTGTATGGGAAGTAATTTGGTTCTAACTTGTAAATGACAGCAAAGCGGCTAATTATGCATTTTTGACTTTTTAAAAAAGAGATACTCCTTTAGGTTTAGCAAAACCTCTTCACAAGTCCTTATCCGACGACCAGTGCCCAAATCGTCCATTTGTGCACGAAGAATGCGCAACATGCGACATGCACACCAAAAGTCTATCCACTTTGGTTCACGAATTATCTTTTTTTCTCTTAAATCCTTCTAAGTCATTGGAGATTAATCTTACAGTCTAGAGCGCTCTCCGCAACAACCCGATACGCAGAAAGGTCCAACCCAATGTACGCAGGAGTCCGCCCACCCAGCCGATTCCAGGCTCCGGGCTTTCCGCAGGGCCCGTCACTCAAGTGACGCGAGGCCCCGCCCCTGCACCAAGCTAGTTCGACGCGTACAAACAGATGATGTCATTGTATCCACACGCGCGTGACCCGGGAGCGCTGCGCCGCGTCGCCATTCGCTGCGCCGCTTACTCGTCAAGCCACGCCGCGAGCTGACTGGCCGCAGCCGTCAGTCTCCAGGCCGCAGACGCCCCTCTCCGCCCCCCGCCCCCGCCCCCCCTGCAAATAATAAACAATCGAGTAAAATTCTAAGGAAAGAAGGAGGGGAGGGAGGAGTGGAGAAAAAGAGAGGGCGAACCAGAAGCCAATCCTTGGCGAGCGGACGGAGGAAGAGTTAAAAGGAGGGGGACGTGAGAGGACCCGGGGAGAGGAAGGAGGGAGCAGACCTGGGGTGATGGGTCCCGCCGCGAGGAGGTGGCGTCGGGGGTGGAAAGTTGGAGAGCACTCTACAGGGCGCGCCTGGTGGGACCGGGGGCGCTAGGGCCCGGGAGCGGCCTGGCTCGGGGCTGGGGGCGGAGCGCGGGCCGCCGGGGGGCGGAGACTGAGCCGCGCGGGGGCGGCGCGGGGGAGCCGGCAGACACGTGCGGGAGGAGGGCGGGCGCGCGCCGCACACGCTCGCCCCGGGCGCGCGGCCCCGGCAGGCGCGCGCGCTTGTTTACCAGCGCACGTGGGTGTTATTTTTAAATGGAATGTAGTGCTGGCAGCAGCGCCGAGTGGCGGGCGCGTGGGGCCGCCCGCGCCGGCTGGGGGACGCGGCAGGGCCCGCTCCGCGGCCTCTCCGGGCGCTGCTCACGGGCCTGCGAGGCTGTCCCCACTGCGGGCTTCCAGCGCAGCGGGTGGTGCAAGCCGGGGAGCCTGATGGCGAGTTCCGCGCGCTGCCCAAGCCTCCACCGAGACGACGTGTTCCCGCCTCGGAATGCTGCCTTTTTCTTAACCCCAGGCTCGGTTCCCTCCTTCACATTCCGGGAACAAAGCCACCTGCTTCTCTTCGCCCTGGAGGCCGCGCCAGGCCCGGCTCCGCAGCCACCGGGTCCGGGGCACTTTCACACGCTCACGTACTCACTGGCACACAACACGCTAGCCGCGAGGTGGACTCTCCTCACCCTGCGTGGTTAGTGCCCTCGCTCCCTTGCTCCGAATGTCCTCAGTCCGTACGTGCCCGTCTCCTGGGCATACAGCTCTGCCCACGTACAGATGTGCTGCTGATACTTCGGGTGTCTTTGGCAGGAGGAGTCTGGGAAGGGGGCTCGGACTGTTTCCTGGGCTTGCTCCTCTGCGTGCGACTTCTCTCGTCTCGTTGTGGGTCTGCCCCACTGAGAGTCTCTGAGTTTGCATTTGCTTTATAGCCTGACGGTGCAGACGGTGCTCTCCGACCAAAACTCTCCAGCTTCAAGTGTCCGTGGGGAGGGGAGGCGGGGGCGTTGGAGCACATTACCCGGAGTCTGGTGTTCAGCTTTGCACGAAGAACCAGGAGGCCAGATCACCCAGGGCTTTGCACCGTGCGTGATACAGCATAAAATCCAAAGAGCTTTCTGTCGCTTTTTAAAAACACTTACGACACACTGTATAAGTCTACCCTTTTTCTTCTCTAAATCTAGGCAATCTTTTGTCATTAAAGTGCAGACTGGCAGAAGGAGAAAGAATGTGTTTACACTGGCTGGGCTGTCGGCCATTAGATTTTCACTATAAACATGTGGGGTGTCCATTTACAGAATGCATATCCCAAGGGCATACAAAAAAAATGTAAGAGTTAAAGATTCAGTAGATTAACTGAGCTCATTGAGACCTTGGTGAGGAATGGGGGGCAGGGACATGATATAGACATTTCCTCAAAGAACTTGCTGTCCTGGTTGGGGGGATAAGACATATTAAAAAGTTCAGTAGTTCAAGAGTTTTAAAAGCATACAATACAAATACAAGAGGTCAGACGTGGTGTTGGGTAAGTTTCAAATGAGTTAAGGATCAGAACTTCACATGCAGTGACTATAAACATTCAGCTTGGTAAATGTGCGTCTTACCCAAAGAATTTACCCTTGCAATTTGTCCCTGTGGGCAAACCTTTGAAAACTCAGAGATTGAATCTCAGTGATTGTTCTCTTTTAGCCTGAAATTGCTTTGACCTTTCCTTTCCCCTTTAGCCTCCTTGGTCCTTCTTCATTTCTTCTCCCCTCTTTTTTCCTGAACTTTTTAGTTTAGGGAAGCTGAGTAAGCTATGGCTGATGATTGAGAAGGAATGCCAGCATTACCTTGGAGGTAGAATTTTTGGTTACAATTCTCCTTACTTCTTATTATACCCTGATTATTTCTACCAATGATTTAAGGTAGTGATGTCCGCTCCGTATTGGAAATTCAGTCCCTGGAGGAGCAAAAGTTAAAATTTTTTTTTACCTGAATGAGCTGAGTAAATTCACCATTTCAAACATCTAATTGCCTGGCAGCAAAGTGTTCATTTCCCTCTTGGATTGGCTTCTCTGTCCATCTCAACAATGAAGACAGGAAGCACAAACACAGTAT